AACTGATGCACCCAGTGCTGTCTTAGCATATATACCTTAATTTTTGCTATCTGGTTAGAGAGAAGCTTTAGTGCCATTTCTCCCCATCCTTTTCTTCTCCCTCCTGCCAGGAAGGGCAATAAGCTAATTTTTACCCATTGTGGAGTTAAAAGCTTTATATATCTACTAGGAATAAGACCCGTTGTGGAAATAAATACAAAAAGATCTAGATAGAGGCTCTGGGAGCATGCCCCAACCTTGGGTACTCAGTGTCAGTTTGCTGTGGCGACCTCAGCAGAGTGTAATGACACAAAGTCTTCCATTTTCTCCAGGGGATCTGAACTCTGCCATCTGAACAGCAGTTGTAATTCTGAGTGATCTCCAGCCCTCACCTGCAGATTGGCAACAGTGGTTCCCCAGGAGGAAATGGCTGGTTTGGAGGGTGGATTCTATGGCATTGTACCTGTCTGAGGTCCCATCCACTCCAGGCTCCATCCCTCAAATCTCCAGGCATATAGTATAGACTGCATAGATTTTAGCACCAATTTTACTGTATAAAAATCGTTTTTATTGTTTTAGTATTTATGATGTTGTTAGCCGCCCTGAGCTACTGGATAGGGCGGGATAAAAATCGCAAAATAAATAAATAAATAAATAAATTATCCCAACCTGGAGTTGGCACCCCTATCTCCTTCCCAGACAACCATCAATGTACTGTTATCTGCCTCTCTGACTTCAGATTTCCATCTCCTCCCCCCTCCCTGCAGCCTCTGCCTAGAAAAAGTACAGTCTTTCTCCACAGTGGGGACCAAAGCAACTCACATCATTCTCCTTTCCCCCTTTTGATCTGTACAACAATCCTGTGAGGTAGGTTAGGCTGAAAATCTGTGACCCAAATCACCCACTCAGCTTCCACAGCAAGGTCTCCCCCTGGAGAAAATAACTGCTTTGGAGGGTGGACTCTATGGCATTCTATTCAGCTGAGGCTTCTCCCATCCCCAAACTCTGGCTTCTGTAGACTCCACCAAAAAACCTCCAAGAATTTCCCAACTTGGAGTAGGCAACCTAGTCAGGACTGGCCCCAATGAGTTCCCCACAAAAGCCAAAGTAGGCCTGGAAAGGGCCTCCTGCCTTTGCCTTTTTACTGACAGAACCAAGCTTGGTTGCCTAGGGAAAGTGAGCCACACAGCCGTTTATTCAGACAGGGAATGGCAGTGGGTGGGGGACAGGAGTGGACCCAGCCCCCAGCCAGTGGTACGCGAGTACTCTTGAGTGGCAGTTGATGGGCCAATGGCTGATGGAGTGCACAGCATAGCCAGTGGGAGAGCCGGAAAATGCCCATATACTGGGCTTTTATATATATAAGGTAGCCCACCTTGTCTTTAAAAGCATTTCACTCATTCAAAAAGAGAAAATATTTCATAGTTTTTTTTCAGTACTCCCCCAAAATTTTAATTTTGGAAAATTAAAAAAAAGGCCTCAGAATTCATGTAAGTTTTTTTCCTAGGCCTTCGTATCTCTGAGCAGGAGCCATTGGAGTGGACAAGAGTGAAAATACGTGCATTGTAAAATTACCAGGCAGGAGTTCACGAGACCCAGGATGCATGTCAGGATTGTCAAACCCGTTAGTCACATGTGAGAGTGTAGTCATTGTCTTCCTGAAGGTGGTTGCTCTTCCGGTGATTCACCAAGAACATATAGTTCTGGAGGATTATCCATATAACTAGGGGACTCCGTGATCTGATCAGGAGGTCATCCAGTAGGGAAGACATGTACTCCTCAGACCTGAGGAGGCAGTGTTTGCAGATCAGGTGGATGGAGACCTGATGGTAAGCCTCGTTGAGGTTGATGGAAACCAGAAACTTGGGAGAGTTGCCCTAATTGACCAGAGGGTCTGCATGTGGAACCTCCTTCTCACAGTTTCTTGAGCCTCTACAGATCTTGGATTGCTCTACAGTCAACATCATCTCTGGGTATGACAGGCCAGATAGCATAGATCGCTGCAAAAACTTGCCTTCTCTGGCACTGGCTCTATGGCTTGCCCTTTGAAGGGATCAAGGCCGGCTCCGGGGTTTTTTTTTTGCACACTAGGCGAGGCTACCTTCTGCCTGCCCCCCCCCCCCCCCGCCGTGCGCCCACCAATTTTCAAACACCAACACGCTGGTCACCTGCACATCCCTCCCAGCTATTTACTAACATATAATAGTAACTAAAATACATAGCTGACAAAGTAGTTTTGCTATTAACTCATTTCCAGACTGTGGCTTCTTCCCAGGCTGTTTTTGGGAGTACACTGAAATGCACCACCCAGACACACATGTGGAGAGTGAATCGTACACAGATCCGTGTTTAATAAAACAGAAGGCCAATGGGCACTTTGTGGACTGGCAAAATTCATTCTAGCACGTTTTTGTGAGCCACCAACAGTTTATGATGGGATAACTGTAGTCAGTCTTGAAGAGGCCACTGGGCTCTCGTTTTGAGTTACGCTGCCCGCTGAAGGAAACCCGCAGCGCGAGGGTGTTGAAAGTGAAAAGTGCGCGTTCCTAGACCCCGCCCCTCTCGAACTGGCAGTTGCTGCCCAATGGCTCCAGCGAGATCACGTGGCACAAACAGGGTGCCACAACCACGAGACGATAGGAGGGGTGGGAGGAGAAAGGAAAGGAAGATGGTTCCTGGCAAGACTTACCAGTGAGTTCGAAGTGCGGCTGGCCATTTTTTCTTCCCTTTCTGACCCTGGCAGCTCCTGGACGTTCTCTTTTTGGTCCCCCATCGTTGCCCTCCCTCCCTCCCTCCCTCCCCACCATCCAAACGCAAAAATCCAGAGGCACAGGTAGAGCCCAGGGCGGCGGTGGCGGGCAGAGCGCATGCACCCTGGGTCCGTGTTTAGGGGAGGGAGGGGCAGGGCGGGGGCGCCCCCTCTTAAGGGGCCACTCTAGTCCGCTGCCTAAAAATTGTCTATGACGGGCTGGCCCTGGAAGGGATTGTACAGGCTATGGCATAGCCAAGGTAGTTTGGTATATCTACTATCCTCCTACGATGGTGTCAGGTGGAAAAAGGATTAGACTGGGTGTTGAATGTATTCCAGGAAGTTTTTGGAGACTCTGGAGTCTGTCAGAACAAACCTCTGGAGGACCCAAAATAACTGAGGCTGTTACAGTTGGACCTATTGTTCTCTTTATTGGAAGGACATAGCTTTCCTCTTCTCTTTCATCTCTGTTTGCGACCTCATAAGGGGCCAGAAAGTTTCTCTCACTGATAGGGAATCATGGAGATACTGGTTTTGGAGAAATGATTCACCTACCAGTGTTTCAACTATGAGCTGCTATGGCTGACAGTGTTGGGAGTTAGAGACTAAGCTGAGGACTGAATAGCATCCTGTCTGGCATCTGCTGAGAATTTAGAAGCTCTCTTGATCTTGAGAGCTTCTAACCTAATCGGGAGCAGGGTCTTGTAGGAGTTCCTCTGTAGAAGTTCGTCATAAGAGAAAATAGAAAAGGAAGAGCCTTGATGGGCCATTTTGAGAGAGAACTTGCTCTTCCTTAGCTTCAGAGTGTGTCCTCTCTGTCCTTGGATTAAATAGTGTCTAAAATAAGGCCAGCATCCACATGTCCACCACTGGAAAATTCAGGGCTTTCTTGAAAGGAAAGAGTACATCTTTTGCAAAGGTGTTAAGGTCCCTCCCCTCATTCAGGGAAGCCTTGCCAAAAGAATATGAAAAGGGGGTGTATGGAGGGTCTAGGACCCGTACCAAAAATACTGGCATGTTCCCTGTTGTAGTTGTTTTGAGCTGCCACTGGAGGTGCTAGACTGTCAGAAAAATTATATTCCCCTGACCATTCCCACTCCTGCTGCACTGTAGCCATGGAATCAGCAGAGCTAAGAGTGCAGTGGCTCAGTGACCAGAGGGGCAGTGCACCTGGATCTAGAGACAGAGTGGTGAGGCTGAATGGAGGCTCCATGTTCTGCTAGGCCTAGAAGAGCTTGTGGTGTGCATAGGCTAGGGAAAAGCTCTGGTGCCACGGGAGTGTAGGAGTCAGAGTCCTTTGGGGGAATTATGTTGATGGTTGTGAGATCTTATGGTTGCCTCTGGGAGGGTGGGGAGAAAAGAAAAAGGGAAACATAGTTCCTGTGTCTGTGGAGTCTCTTAGTCCCCTTGTCTTTTGGATGTCTCTCACCACTTAATGGTTAAGCGAGTTACTCTGGGTGAAGGAAAGCCCCATCTACAGTCATGGGGTTTTTTCATGGCTTTGTCCCCACTGGAACTTTGGTGGTGGGGAGAGGTGGCAGTGGAGCAATCAACATTTGCTGGGCGTTTCCCCAGAGACCCCATACTGTGGAATGATGACTGTGCTGTTGCCCTTCCCCCAGTTGCCTTTCTGGGGGGGGGGGGCGCAGGCGGTGTTGATGTTTGTGGGGGCTTCTTGGCCAAGAGCTATGGGGGGTTGTTGAAATAGCAGAACTGGCAGTGGGTTTTCTTTGGACCTGACCAACACCAGCACTTTGGTGTAAGAGAGGTCCCAACTGCCCACTTACAGTCCCTGCTGCATCCTTGGTGGGGTGGGAAGGAGACAGCAGCTGCGGAGCAGCTAGTGTTCACTGGGCCTGTGGTGGCTGGCTCCTGGATTTTTGATGGTTTCTGCTTCAGGCCTGGCCAACACTTGGAGCTTCAGTGCAGAGAGAGGACCAGCTGCCTTTTCACTATCCCCACCAACCTTTCAGTGAGGACAGGGAAGTGGCAACAGAGCCAACAGTATTGTCCGGTCTCACAAAAGAAGGCTATTGAGGTTTCTGTTCCAGCTGAGTTGTGGGGCTGCCACAGGTAGTTGCTTTCACTGGGAGTAAGCAACTTCTTTCCTGTCCCTTTCTCTGCTGGAGGGGGGGGGGGCGACTGTTGATTTTTTTTCACATGCTTACACATGGTAGTTCTAGAACTGAGACCTCTGGAAGCTCCTCCAGCCACAGAACAGGAAGGGCCAATTACAGCACAACCATTGTAATTAAGCTTCTGCTGTATGTAGGTTTTGGATGGCAGGAAATCCACCGGAGGAAAACTAGAAGTGAAAGTGCGACTCAGAGAGCCACTCAGTGGACAAGACCTTCAGACAATTACAGAAAACTGGCTAGTCCTTGAACACTAGTTGCATCTAAGGTAGGAGTATCTTTATTTCCTATGTAGACTGCGACTAGGGATATGAACAATATAGTGGGAATATGTTTATCATCAGAAGTTAGTTATATAAGTTCATGTCATACCTTGGCTTTCTATGTTGCAGCTCAAATATTTATTTATTTATTCAAAAAAATTGAGACTATAACTGTAGGTCACTCCTACCAACAGCATGATTATATGGCAAGGTTGTTGCTCTTTCATTTGACATATAGGACATATTCTAAAACTGCAATAGTGCTTTGCACTATTAATGGTTTGCAAGTGCAGTTTGTATAGAATAGTTGAAGATAAACTTCCATTTATGACTATTTGATGAGTTTTGCTGGACCTATGAATTTTTACTTCTGAAATTTTCTTTTCCTTGCTATAGGCTCAGAAGTGTTAAAAGCTACAGAATGGACTGAATATACATAGAGCTTCTACAAGCACCAAAGATGTTCAATGAATGCACTACTGAACATAACATCTATTTTCATAACTATCATATAGTGTGAGTTGGTAAGCTTTGTAAGTCTATTACACGGAAGGTACTAGAAATGATAATGGGCCAGAGCTAGTGGAAAAGCATGCAGCAGGAGTTGACAGACTAGATCCCATCCTACTGTCCCCTTCTCCCAGGAACTGCTGTTTTTTCCAAAAAATCCTCTGAAGGCTGGAGAACGTTTGTGAACAAAATGCACCACAGTGCAAGAAAGGGGGGGGGGGGGAAGCACCACCCCTCCTCTGTCTAGCCCACTGACAGACTGTCCTGCCTTAAAGCCTTGTTGAGACTAATATTGTTAGTACTACATGAATGTTACTTAAGGTGTACTGAATGTTCCCTTATGCAAAGGAAGGGCATGTTTTCAGAGGTAGATTTTATTTTAATAGATGGGTGGTATATTAACTTGAAAATATCTTGTGGTGTTAGCCCTGGAATAAATTCTGTTCTTGCATACAGGATATTTTGGTCAAGCAGCTGCTACTCAAATGCCTGTAAATTGCTCTTTTCTTAATTGCCTGCAATGAGGAATTCTTCAAACGACATCTCCCATCTCCTCTGTATGTGCACAAACACCCCCTTGTCCTAGGGTAACAAAACCTGATGAGCCTTTTGAAAGGGTTCTGCACCATATTTGAGATGACTGTGAACAACGTCTACCATCTGCCTCTCCTCTTTGAAACACAAGAGACAGCAGTAAAGTTGTTTAGTGCTTTAGGAGGCTACTGCACTTAAGTTATCTAGAATGGTCATAATGTATAATCCTGGGGATCTAAAATTGCCTGTATGTTTTCCCCATCTTCAGGCAGGTCCTTAGAGGTGGCTGGTGTAAGAGGATAAGCCTATGGCAGCAGAACTTCCCCCATGCATAGGTTTACATCCAAGACATAGGTCTACTCTGGAACTAGCATTTCTGCTTCTGTCTTCCTAAGTGGATGGAGACAATACAGTATTCTGTTTTAATTTTAATAAATTTAATATACAAAACTACATGTTGAAAATAAAAATATAATATGCAGTCTTTTGCAGTGTTAACTGAATTTTAAAAGTACATTTTTTCTTTAAACAAGTACTCATTTCTTAACAATATGGTCATTAAGGTCATTTTAAAGGCTATGGTTGAAGCCAACCAGTCAATACGATTTTGCACAAACATAACCCAAACAAGTGATTTTTTTTTGTTGGGGAAAGGAAGAAAACTTCAGTCATTTTCCCCCACCATAACTTAAAGCAAGCCTAAAGGTACTGAATAAACTGCTTCTGTGGTAAAACTGGAATGCAATCTCTTGAAGTAAACCTACAGCAGCTATGTAGTTCTTTTGGATATTCTGTAAGTAAATCTGAGTGCTGACTGTTGCAAAAAAGAGGAAATTATAAAAACCAGCTTGCATTTTTATATAGAAGAAAAACAAAACCAGGACATGTAAGAAGGCTCTGATCTGCAGGGCCTTTGTTCTGCAGCAGATAGGTGCTTACTAATGAGTGGCAGAAGGTTGAGCACCTGAGTTTGTGCAGATAACAGCAGTCTAAGAATTTCAACCATATTCATAATATGTGGCCAGCCATTCAAAATAACAATTCATTTTAATGGGATTAACGTCTCCTGCACCTTATTTTTGTGCCCAGTTCTAACACCCTTGACTCCCCTCACTGTCTCAGCCGCAGTTTGGCATAGGCTTTTAGCAAGGTTTTACTACTCTTAGGCAAGCGGTGGCAACTTACTCACAAAAGAAGCTGTACGTATATTGAACTATACTTTGCAATTTACCATAGCTGGTATTGCTATATACAAATGCAGTTCTCTTAAGAGTAACAACATAAGAGAAGCCATATTGGATCAGGCTAAAGGCCCATCAAGTCCAACACTCTATGTTACACAGTGGCCAAAGACCAGGTGCCATCAGGAGTAGATCTGTAGCAATTATTGTCTACTTGCTGATGGAAAAAGGACAACCACAGATGCTCTCCAGTTTCAGATCTGTTTGACCTCGAGGTGCTAACCCTAATTTCTTTGTCCGTTATCACCTTGTAGCTGAGTGGTAACTAATCAAAACAGCAACTGCTGTTTAGAGGAAGCCTAAACTTGCCGTCTCTTTTCTCCAGCTTTTCCCACTCAATGACAGTTTCTCCAGGATGAAGACATAAAGTTTACGCCCATTGCCAGTTTTTGTACGCTGCAGCAAGAGGGCTCAAACGGCTCTCCTCTTAGGTAGGTGAGGCAGAGTGCAAGCCAGACATGCAATAGCAGCCAAACTATTCTAGTTCTCACAGGCTAGCTTTATATGGTGCTGCTACTATCAAGTGTTAGATAAGTGCAGGCTTGATGCTAGGGCTAATATAAGTACAATACACACCACTCAAGGGAGGATGTTACCTTTTTTTAAAAAAAAGAGAAAGCAAGACCAACTGGAAAAAAACAGGGATATCACATTAACTGCTCTTGAAAGCTAACACATCTCATGCCTGTGGCAGATTCTTTTGCAATTTGCGGAGAAGGAAATTTTGATGCAGTTGTATGCCAAGTTGTCAATCTGAAGGGACAGTTTAAAGAAAAACAAGGTAAAACTATCCTATTTATACACACACACACACAAATGCAAGCTTTAATTTACATACTGCTTCTAGAGAGATACTTCTGTTTTCCTTGGACATACTGCTTGTTCTGTACATCTCTATAGAATATCCCACCATGTCTCAGAGGCTTTTTTGACCAATAATCTGGTCAAAAATAAATGTAAACAATACTATTTAAATGTCTGGAGAAATTAATCACAAACAGCAGTATGAGGTCAGAATGGAGGTCTAGATTGTTTCTTCATAATAAGTTCATCTACAAACATTACAAATGTGGACAATTCCTTTTTTATTTATTCCCTAGTGATCTGCGCACCCATTTGAGCATTGACTACATGACCATAATTGAAAACATGATTGTTGTTGGTTTCTAATCTGTAACAGAAGTATATTAGCTGCAAAGATAGCATAGCCATTTTATAGTATAGAAGCTGCCCTGATCCTGTTCATTGACAAATGCATAGACGATTCAGAATTATGGAACAACTGTTCTCACCCCCTCATAATAGTGTTAACAAAAGCTTAATTTTCCAGTTTTTTAAAGTGCAAATGATTCAGATACGACTGCTGCTGGAACAGGTCTGAACAGAAAATGAAGTCCTCCTATGAGATGTTTTCCAGAATATAGAAGATGAGCTCCATTATGACTGGGCCTTCGCTTAGCTGACATGCCCCTCCATGAATCACTGGAACTAAGGCACTGTCCAGGTCATTCATATATTGAGAGGGCAGAGGCTGGCCATTACTCCCAGCCTGGTAGCCAACCTACAACGCAGACAAGATTTTATTCAGGTTGGGAACAGCAAAAGGCAGACTGCAATAACGCTAAGGTTGAAACAAGGTCACTCTATGTCTTACACTGCACAAGAACACTTATCTTTAGGTAGTATTTTCTGTGAAGGAATGCAAGTCAAAGCAGGCCTCAGGGACCCTGAGACCAAATTAAGAACAATCTAGAATATAATTCTCAGAAAACTGTCATTCAGGATTACAGACAGAAAAGCAAACACAGAAATATATGGGTGATGAAAATTTCCTCTTTTTTCATGCACAGATACTAGTCAATATCTTAAATGTACAGCTAAGGTAAAAAGATTATGGGCAAGTGATTATGATTACATTAGAATTCCTATGCATCAGGGCAGGAAGTCCTTCTACCTCCCTGTTTAATATCCAGCATTTAAAAAGAAATCAAACATTGTGACAGGGATATAGACAACAGTGCTAAGGTCTGTCATCAGAAGAAAAATATGCTCAGTTTTTAATATAAAATGCAGAATCTGAGGTTGCTGCCCTATTAGCTTTAAAAAATTACCAATTTCTAGCATCACCCTTCCAACAAGTGATTGAAATTTTCCTCTCCCCTCAGCAGAGCTGCACTGGCAGAAAAAGGGAGGGAAGTGTTTTTATACTTCCATGCAACTATTCCTCCACATACTGAACCATGCAACTATTCCTCCACATGGTTCTGGTAATCTCAGGAATAATCTTTCAAGCAGTTCAGAAGAAACTCTGGAAAAACTGACTACCAATTTGTGCAAGGTCTATATAGTAACAAAATGCATCTTAGGTTTAAAAGGTCAGAAATCATCATACAAGATAAATGAGATACTATTAGAATTGTAAAAGTGTCCACCTTAAAACCGATGCTTGGATACTACTGGGAAGAAATGTACAGCCTAAAACTGATAAATCTCCACATCAAGCACCAACCAAAAGGAAAAAATCCAATTGTGAGAAGGTGCTACTGATTTTCCTTTTAACCTTTCTAACCACCCCTTGCCTTACTTTCCCCCCAGTAACTAGTTGATTTGACTTACTTGATCAGCATCAAGTGTAACCCGTAGGCCCAATTTGGTCATCCCATCTTCCTTCAATAGCTTCAGGTGAGGACACAGAGCCAAGCAGAAAGCCTTGGCCACATTCTCAGTCAACCTACTGTGGTCCGCTGGGTCACTTAAGCCATTATGTTGCTCATCGTTTTCCAAAAAGAAAACCTGAAGAAAAAAAGACTGTTCCAGACACAGCACAAACAACTTGTAACTTTCTGAATTTCTATACTAAAAATGCACTTGTTTTTACAGCTATAGACATGATATAGGCAATTTTTATTATTCATTCAGTTAAAACAAAACCTTTTAGGTTAGGGATTGTGCCTGTTAGGGAGCAAAGAAGCACAGATGTTGAGGAAATGGAAGGCAGCTAGGCTTACTGCAGTGAGACCAGATATCACAAAGAAATCTATTCCAGCCACAATGAAACATTATAGCTAAAAAATTGAAAACTCTTGCCATTAGTATCAAAGAAAGGCAGAGAACATTTGCCAGAATAATGCAGGAGGGCAATCAATAAATATTGCAAAGAAGGCAGAGGTGTTTTAAAACATCCCCTGGAAATCAGCAGAGGATATACAGGTATATAGGAGCTGCCAACACACATGGTACTATGTATCATACGTCTACTAACAGGAAAGGAAATTCTTGGGGTCATTCTTGGATCGCTCAAGCCAGTCCAATCTCATCAGATCTTGGAAGCTAAGCAGGGTCAGCATGGATGGGAGACCTCCAAGGAAGTCCAGGGTCATGATGCAAAGGCAGACAATGGCAAACCACATCTGAACATCTCTTGCCTTGAAAACCCTACAGGGTCACCATAAGCCAGCTGTGATTTGATGGCACTTTCTACCACCTTCACCACTCTTGGATCAGTAGGAACCATACAGTCTCTCTAGGTAAAGGTAATGGCTTCCCTTGCTCGAAGGCTAGTTGAATCTGACTCCGGGGGGTGCTCATCTCCGTCCCCAAGCCAAAGACCCAGTGCTTTCCAAAGACATTTCCATGGTCATGCGGCTGGCATAACTAAATGCCAAGGGACACAGAATGCTGTTACCTTCCTACCGAAGCGGTACCTATTTATCTTCTTGCTTTCAAACTGCTAGGCTGGCAGGAGCTGGGGCCAGAGATGGGAGCTCACTCCGTCATGCGGCACTAAAGTCCCAAACTGCTGAACTGCAGACCTTCCGGTCTGCTGCTCAGCATCTTAACCTCTGAGCCACTGTTTTTTATTAATTAAGGTAAAGGTTCCCTTGCTCGAAAGCTAGTCGAATCCGACTCTAGGGGGCAGTGCTCATCTGTTTCCAAGCTGAAGAGCCAGCGCTGTCCAAAGGCGTTTCCATGGTCATGTGGCCGCCGTGACTAAATGCCAAGGCACACGGAACACTGTTATCTTCCCACTGAAGCGGTACCTATGGTTCTACTTGCAATTTCTTGCTTTCGAACTGCTAGGTTGGCAGGAGCTGGGGCCAG